ATCTGTGTTCCCCTAGGAACACTAAAACCTATTTCTGTATTATCCCAATCATCAGAGACCCATGTCTATGGACCATCTCGCATTGGTTTTGCTGGAATTATACTAACAGACATATATATATATTTGTGATTGCCCTCAGCATTTTTGTGGCTCTGATATGTACAGCTAAACTGATTGTCTACAAGAGTTTTCTCAATCTATCCGAGAACTTTTAAGTAAAACTTAAACAACACCAACAATCAACAATGAGTAATAGTTTTAAAAAGTGTTGGTGATTTTAAGTATTTAATGTATATTATTTCAGTATAAATGTCTTTTAAGAGAAGCACTTTGATTTTTTTGCTTTCTATTTGCTAACCAATAATTCATATTAATATTCTTTGTGGTCTATTAGCCATTTATCTTTTAATAGTTCGGTAATCATCTTGCAAAATGTGGGATTTAGAAGCTCCGTAGAATCACTTTTCCTAAGGCAATAATTACCATTTCTATTTAAAGGATAAAACATAAAACTTCTGGCTGTTTTATATGAAGAATTGCATATTTTAAAAACTTAACATTTTTCTGTTACCACAACCCTAGGAGTTGGGGCAGACCAGGCAAGTGGTATACCACAAAGGAGTGAATAGAGGTAGGAGGCAAGTTACATTTGGTTAGAGACCACTCAACACTTTGTCCTGACCTTGGGAACAACATGGTGGTCTTCAATCTCCTAGTGGACAAGCCATTTAAAACCAGTGGTGCACACCTGGAGAGCATTTAAAAACTAAACATCCTCTGCAGTGCTCCTACCCTGCTCCCGGTCTTTGGAATCAGCATCTTGGGTGGGTGTGATTTCTGTAGCAGTTCTATTCCTTCTGTGAAGTCTTGCATGCTGTGTATTAGAGTTGGATTTTTCATTTTAATCTGCCCTCCTCATGTAGAACCCACATGGAGTCAGCAGTGACAGCAGGTCCATTGTCACCTCTAGCCTGGGGACATTTACTACCCTGTTCTCTCTCCATTAGCGTTCTATTACTTTACCATCTGAAATGTGTCAGGTGCCTTATTTTCAAGTTGTGAACTTGAGCTTCTCAGATTCATATTAAGGCAAAAACAGGTTTGAGGCACAGCTGTGCTGCTTTTGATAGCTCTATTTTTGGTCACTTTCTCAAGAAGGCTGGTGAAAGTCACATGGAATTATTTCCTTAGTGATTTCCATATATTGTTTTACAAAGTAGAGGTCTGCTGGGACAGTAGAGACATTTGTCTTGGTGCAACTCATAGTCATCCTGTATAGGATTATTGAGGCTATAAATCTTAATTGGAGCAGAAAGTCTCATCTCTTTCTTAAGGCGTAACTAGTGGGCTTGAACCACCAAATTTGTGGTTCACAGTGCTTATCTTTTTTTATATATATATTTAAAGTTTTTATTGTGAATTGAGTGATAGTTTACATGGGAGGACATCGGTTTTACACCCATCGTTTTATTGCAGTGATTAAAATCTCCTCCATGCGTCCTCATCCTCATTCAACAGTATTTGCTTCTGTTTCCTCTGATTTTTTTTTTTTTTAATGTTCACAGAAACACTCAGGACTGTATAATCATTTAAACAACTAAAGGGCACATTCTGCAAGCCTGGCTCCTGGCCGCAAGCACACAGCCTTTCTCTTTCCATGAATCTAGAGTCTTCAGCTGCTCGATCTCTCCATGTCCTCATCTCTGCCTCCATCTCAGGTGTCGCTGCTTCTCTGGTTAGGGTCCCCCATTCTGCTTGTGCTCTTCTCCCTTGATGTCCTAGGGTCGTCTGTTCCTGGACTGTAAGATTAACTACTTCTCACTTTTTGTTACAGAACTTCTACCTTTACAGTTGTGACAGTCGCAATTAGTCATAATAATAATTACTCACTATTGAATCATGAGAATCTTATCCCCATATCTTTTCACCAGACCCGTCTAGACAATATGAGAACAGTGGGGATTCTGCCTTCCCCTGTACATGCAGTGTTTATCGTATAGCCCCACTGCACTTCCGGTATGTTATTGTTAAGCACCGTTAAGTTGGTTTCGACTCATAGAGATGCTGAATAGGGTTTCCAAGAGCAGCTAGTGGGTTTGAATTTCTGACCTTGTGGTTTGAAGTCCAGTGCTGATCCTACTGTGCCACACCAGGCATCCACACTCTCAGTAGACCTTGGGAGTGTTTTTTTTTTTTTTTAAATAAAAACAGCTCTATTGTTGCCATTAATATTATTTGTTTAAATTACGGAAACCTTATTGGGGCGGGGAACAATATAGTGATTGAGTAGAGTCTTTGGAGCAAGCAAACCTGAGATAAAATCTCCAACTATCAAATAGGACTGCTAATGCCTGTCTCACCTGGTGACTGGGATTGTTTATTAAATGTAAGTTCTTATCCATTACACTCCCCTACATTTTTATCAGTTTTATACCTAACACCCTTGTGGGCATTGTTCACAGTCTAGGGAACTATTTTCCAAATGGTTTTTCCAGGTGGTTCGTTAAAAAGTTCTATTACTTAACTTATTTTGTTGAAGACTGTGTGCATGTTTAATGACTGGGTTACATATTTGGTAATACTTAATACATAATATTTTCCAGGCTGAAAATTTTTCCTGCTCTTGATCTGTGGTCATGTTTCTTATACTGTTTAGGTGTTGTTGATGATTTTAAGTGTAAAATGTAGTATTATTTTAAAAGTTGTTGTTGTGAAGTGCTGTTGAGTGGGTTCTGACCCATAGTGACCCTGTATAGGGTTTCCTAGGAGCAATTGGTGAGTTTGAACTGCTGACCTTGCAGTTCAAACAGATTTGTAGTCTGGCTCATTAACCCACAGCGCCACAGAGTACAGAGTACACACACACACAAATGAGGAACATCAAAAAATTCATGGAATCCATTAACTTTCTGAAGCCCCCTTGTGGTGTGTGTGTGTGTGTGTGTGTGTGTGTGTGTGTGTGTGTGCGTGTGTGTTGTTAGGTGCTGTTGAGTCAGTTCTGACTCATAGCAACGCTGCACAAGGCTGTAAATCTTTATGGAAGAAGGAAGCCTCATCTTTCTCCTATGGAGTGACTGGTGGGTATGAATACTGACCTTGGAGTTAGCAGTCCAGTGCTTTATCCTGTAGCAATATCAGTGCTCATTTTATGTATGTATGTAGAACAACAACACCACATTGGTAAATACAGCAAAAGAAAAAAATCAAACTCAGTTGTTCTACAAGGCTTCCTATTTAGTAAACAAAAAGAAAAAAATCAAACTTCTACTATAAATCTTTTGGTATATATACTAAATAAATAAGTAAGTAAGTAAGTAAAATCTTTTAGTACAATTGAGTTTAAATTTTCAAATTTTTATTTGTTTACCAATGTGGTGTTAAGTGCCATCGAGTTGGTTCTGACACATAGTAACCCTGTATAGTGTTTACAAGGCTATAAATCTTTTGGGAGCAAAAAGCTTCATCTTTCTCTCATGTTTACCAATGTTGTTGTTACGTGCCATCGAGTCGGTACCAATCCATAGCGACCTTACCCACAGCAGAACAAAACACTGCCCAATCCTGGGCCAGCCTCACTAGTGAAGCCACACTTGAGTCCATCGATGCTGCCACTTGGCCATTCCATCTCGTTGGGGGTCTTCCTCTTTTTCTCTGACACTCCACCTTACCAAACAGGATATCCTTCTCCAGTGATTGGTCCCTCCTGACAATATGTCTGAAGTATGAGAGACAAAGTTTGGCTCTCTTGGCCTCCAAGGAGCACTCTGGCTGTACTTCTTCCAAAACAGATCTATTGGTTCTTTTGGCAGCCCATGGCACTTTCAATATTCTCCTCCAACACTATAACTCAAATGCATTAATTCTTCTACGGTCTTCCTTATTTACTGTCCAACTTTTGCATGCATATGAGGTTATTAAAAATACCATGGTTTGGGTCAGGCACACCTTAGTCTTCAATCTGACATCTTTGCTCTTCAGTGCTTTAAAAAAGGTCTTGTACAGCTTATTTGCCTAATGCAACACGTCGTTTGATTTCTTGACTGCTGCTTCCATGAGTGTTGATAGTTGCTCCAAGAAAAATGAAGTCCTTGACAACTTCAGTCTTTTCTCCATTGATAAGAATGTTGTTTACTGATCCAGTGGTGAGGATTTTTGTTTCCTTTACATTGAGATGTAATCCATACTGAAGGCTGTGCTCTTTGATCTTCATCAGTAAATATTTGAAGTCCTCTCTGCTTTCAGCAAGCAAGGTTGTATCATCTGCATATTGCAGGTTGTTAATAAGTCTTCCTCCAATCCCGATGGCACATTTTTCTTCATATAACCTAATTTCTCATATTATTTTCTCAGTATACAGGTTGAATAAGTATGGTGACAGAATACAACCCTGTCGCACACCTTTCTTAAGGTAAAACCATTCAGTGTTCCCATGTTCTGTTTGAACAACTACTTCTTGGTCTAGGTACAGATTCCTCATGAGTACAATTAAGTGTTCTGGAATACTCATACTTCGCAATGTTGTCCATAGCTTGTCATGATCCACACAATCAAAAGCCTTTGCTTAGTCAATAAAGCACAGGTAAACATCTATCTGATATTCTCTGCTTTCAGCCAAGATCCATCGGACATCAGCAATGATATCCCTCATTCCACAGCCTCTTCTGAAACTAGCTTGAACCTCTGGAAGTTCTCTTGCAGTTTATGATTGCAGCTGTTTCTGTATTAGTAAAACTTTACTCGCATGGGACATCAAAGACACTGTCCAATGATTTCCTTATTCCGTTGGGTCACCTCTCTTTGGAATGGGCACAAATATGGATCTCTTCCAATCAGTTGGCCAGATAGTTGTCTTCCAAATTTCTTGTCAAGAGATTAGTGAGTGCCTTCTGTGCTGCCTTACTTTCTTTCTTTTTTTTTTTTTTTTGTATTGAAAAAATTTATATTTAGAATTAGCCAGCTGGACTCTGTTTAGATGATCCCAACCCAATTTTGTTGGCAACATCCAAAGCATCATAGTCAGGAGCCAGTTGAACGGATGCCTTCTTTTCTCCATCGGGCCTGATTAAAGTGTTGACCTTGGCTACGTCAATGTCATAGAGTTTCTTCACAGCCTGTTTCATCTGGTGCTTGTTGGCCTTGACATCCACAATGAACACAAGGGTGTTATCATCTTCAGTCTTCTTCATGACTGACTCAGTAGTCAGGGAACTTGATGATGGCATAGTGGTCAAGTTTGTTTCTCCTGGGGGAGCTCTTCCGAGGATATTTGGGCTGCCTCTGGAGCCTCAGAGTCTTGGGCCACCGGAATGTGGTTGTCGTGTGGATTTTCTTTCTTTTTGTGGCTGTGGACGCCTTTCAGCACTGCCTTCTTGGCCTTCAATGCCTTTGCTTTGGCTTCAGCTTTGGGAGGGGCAGGGGCTTCCTTCTTCGCCTTTGGCACCATCTTTGTAAAAAGGCCAGCCTTACTTTCTTGAAAGATTTCAATTTTTATTCCATCAATTCCTGGTGCCTTGTTCTTTGCCAATTCCTTCAATGCACCTTGAACTTCCTCCATCCGTATCATTGGCCCTTGATCATATGCTACCTCTTGAAATGTTGAACATTAACCATTTCCTTTTGGTACAGTGACTCTGTGTATGCCTTCCATCTTCTTTTGTTGCTTTCTGCATTATTCTGTAATTTGCCCAGATAATCATTCAATAACGAAAGTCGAGGCTTGAATTTTTTTTTTTTCAGTTTCCCCATCTTGAGAAATGCTGAGCGTGTTCTTCCTTTTTGGTTTTCTGATTCCAGATCTTTGCACATTTTGTTGTAACATTTGGGTTTATCTTCTCGAGCTGATCTTTGAAATTTTCTGTTCAGCTCTTGGACCTTCTCATTTCTTCCATTTGCTTTAGCATCTCTATACTAGAGAGCAAGTTTCATTTTGACCTTTTCCTTCTTTCTTGTCTTCTTAATGACTTTTTGCTTTCTTCATGTATGGTGTTCTTAATGTCGTCCCACAACTCTTCTGTCTTTTAGTGTTTAATGTATCAAATCTGTTCTTAAGATAATCTGTAAATTCAGGTGGAATATATTCAAGGTCCTGTTTTGGCTCTCATGGACTTGTATTCATTTTTTTCAGCTTCAGTTTGAATTTGCATATGAGTAATTGCTGGTCTGTTCCACAGTCTGCCCCTGGCCTTGTTTTCACTGATGATATGGAGTTTTTCCAACGTCTCTTTCTGCAGATGTAGTCAATTTGATTTCTAGGTATTCCATCTGGTGAGTTACATGTGTATATTCATCTCTTATGCTGTCTAAAGAAGGTATTTCGAATGAACAAATCATTGATTTTTCAGAATTCTATCATGTGATCTCCAGCATCATTTCTATCACCAAGGCCATATTTTCCAACTACTGATCTTTCCTCTTTGCTCCCAACCTTTGCATTCCAATAGCCAGTAATGATCAATGCATCTTGATTGCATGTTTGATCAATTTCAGATTGAAGAAGTTGTTAGAATTCTTCTATTTCATCCTCACTGGCTTTAGTGGTTGGTGTATAAATTTGAATAATAGTGGTATTATCTGGGCTTCCCTGTAGGCACATGGATATTATCCTATCACAGACACCGTTGTACCTCATGACAGATCTGTATATGTTCTTTTTGACAATGAATGCAATACCATTTCTCCTCAATTTGTCATTCCCATGTGGTCATCAGATTGAAAATGGCCAATACCAGTCCATTTCAGCTCACTAATGCCTAGGATATTGATGTTTATGCATTCCATTTCATTTTTGGCAACTTCCAGTTTTCCCAGATTCATACTTTGTGCATTCCATGTTCTGATTTTCAGTGGATGTTTACAGCTGTTTCTCTTCATTTTGTGTTGTGCCCCATCAGCAAATGAAGGTCCCTTGGCTTTTCTCCCACGGGCTTTACTCCATCCATGTCATCACGGTCAACTCTACTTTGAGGAGGCAGCTCTTCCCCAGTTGCATTTTCAGTGCCTTCCAACCTGAGGGGCTCATTTTCTGGAACTATATCTGACAGTGTTTTTGTGATATTCATAAGGTTTTCAGTTACTAAATATTCAGAAGTAGTTCATCACTCCTTCTAATCTGTCTTTGTCTGGAAGTTCATCTGAAACCTGTTCATCATGGGTGACCCTGCTGGTATTTAAAATGCCAGTGGCATAGCTTTCAGGATCACAGCAACTTGCAAGCCACCACAGTACGACAAACTGACAGATGATTTGGGATGTATACCATTAGGTTATACTAATTTTCCTTGATTATTCAGCGGTCCTGAATTTTAGTGATGGTATATGCTAATCCCTGGAGGTTTGGAAACATACCCCAAAGCAGTAGAATTTACTCTGTACACTTGTATATTTATATTTTAAGATCCATATAAATTTTATATTTTATGTTATTGTTGATAGGTGCCGTAGAGTTGGTTTCAACTTGTAGGGACCCTATGCACAACAGAATGAAACCTGCCCATAACCTCACAATCATGTATAAGCTTTTTTCCTGACCCTCTACTTTTCCAACTGTGATGTCTTTCTCCCGGAACTGGTCCCTTCTGATTATGTATCTGATGTATGAGAGACAAATCTAGTCATTCTGGCTTGTAAGGAGTATTCGGAGTGTACGTCTTGCAACGCAAATTTCTTTGTTCCTCTAGCAAGCAGTTCATAGTACTTTTAATATTATTCTCCAACACCGTAACTCTGGTAGCGTAGTTGTTACGAATTGGACTGGGAACCGCAAGGTCAGCAGTTCGAAACTACTGGCTGTTTCGCGGTAGAAAGATGAGGCTTTCTGCTCCCGTAAAGATTTATAGCCTCGGAAACCCTGTACAGGGTTGCTCTGAGTTGGAACCAACTCCATGGCACATAACAACAACAACCGTAATTCAAATGCATGATTCTTTCTTGGTTTTCCTATTTGTTATCTGACTTTCACATGTATATGAGGTGATTAAGAATACCATGGGTAAGGTCAGACACTCAGTAGTCCTCAAACTGACATATTTGCTTTTTAACACCTTAAACAGGTCTTGTGCAGCAAGGTTGTATCATTTACATATTGTAGGTTGTTAGTGAATCTTCCTCCAAATCTAATGCCAAATTCTTCATATAACCCAATTTCTCAGATTATTTGCTCACTATATGGTGAAAGTATTCAACCCTGATACATACCTTTTCTGGTTTCAATGCACTTAGTGTCCCCTTGTTCTGTTTAAGTGACTGCATCTTGGTCTGTATACAAATTCCTCATGAGCACAATTAAGTGTTCTGGAATACCTGTTTTTCTCAACATTATCTGTGGCTTGTCATGATCCGTACAGTCAGAAGTCTTTGCATAGTCAGTCTTTCAGCATATATGTGTAAATATATATGTATGCACATAAATATTTTAATGACTGTTGTTGTAAAAGTGGTGTTTCATACTTACCTGTGGTTTTCATATATGACTGTAAGTCTATATATGTAAATATGATTTGTTCAAAAATCATAGGTACCTTTATTAAATAACAATATCAAAATGTGAAGTGATTGTTTCTGAACATTTCCTCCATCTAGGTTTGTACACTTTTTTTTTTTTTTTTTGAATTCCAGGGTGTTTTTAATACATGATTTTGTGTTTTGGATTTGCAGACGACAGAGTACAGTATCTATTCATTTCTCTAAATTAATCTGACTATTGTAGAATATCCTTAATGAGACACAGTTTAACACATCCTTCACTTTTATCACCAAGGAGAGAGGCCTGTCAGATGGGCTAGGGTGTAACCATTCTAACCATTTACTCTGGGTTTCACTTTTCACAGATGTCATTAAACTTAGGTTTTGGACATGTTTATTTCTAATGAAGTTGCTATGTCTATATGTGTGTGCCAAAGGGTTAATTTGCCATATGTAAATATTTTACATATCTCAAAATGTTTATAAATGCTCTATTTTAGTTCTGAGTTTTTATATACTGGAGGATGAAAAATTTATGATGCCTTGAGCCTGTTTTGACTCTGACTTATCCTAGCTAGTAAATATATTTTATTCAAATGCTCTTTAAAAATAATTTCAATAAGAATTGGTGGCTGTGAGGGTTATGTACTGAGGAGTCAGTGCCGACACATAGCGACCCTGTATAAGATTTCCGAGGCTGTAAATCTTTATGGGAGCAGAAAGCCTTATTTTTCTCCAATGGAGCAGCTGGTAGTTTCGAACTGCTGACCCTGAAGTTAGCCTGACTCATAACCACTATGCTACGAGAGCTCCTTCAATAGAAATTAAGAGGTATTAAAAAGGTTGTCTCTCCTGGTGCACTGTGAACTTGAAAGAGAGCACAAATGCTGATGTACATTTAAAGGCTAAGAAGAACAACCGCAGGGACTCAGCTTAAGAGTCATTTGTCCTTGATTTACACTTCTCACCCAGCAAGTCAGCAGGGCAGATATCACATGAGACCAGGGAACCCAGGTGTGGGCTACTTTGCTTTCACTTTGCTTTCTCCCTCAATCTCTCAGCAACCTGGATTTTAGTGGTCAGTGCAGTCTTGGCAGAGGGAGGGATGCATCATTGGTTTATACACTTCTGAAGGTGTTGTTTTTACCTGTCTAACCATTCTCCAAAGAATTCTTCACTTTAATTTACAGCAAGTCAAAATGGCAGCTTTGGCATCCTTGAGGGACTCAAGGTGTTGATTTTCAATGTTCGTTGACTTTGAGGAACTAAGAGACGTTTGTAGGACATGTAAGTTGGATGGAGTAAGGTTTCCCAAGGAAATTCTCACAGGGCAGCCCTTGCTTCTCTTGTAGAATGAGCAGGTATACTTTCTTGATTGAAAAAACATTCTTTGACATGAATTTCCTGGCCTTTTTCTAACCAGTGTAGTTTTACATTTTCTTACAACTTTTTCCTTATAAGCTCCCATGATTGTTTTGTGTCCTACAAGAAAATATCATGATTATCCTTTTTGAACTTGCCCCAAACAGAGACTATAACTGCATATCCCCTCAGAAGCCATGGTTTTGGTTGGGCCTTTTTTTTTTTTTTTTTTTAAGATATTCTGATTCTAAGACAAGCCTGTTACTCAGAAAACTTGTCTGTAGTCATCCACTGTTCTCAGAGACATGTTAAAGGTTTTTTGTTTGGAAAAAAATCCATTCATGTATGAACTGGAGCCCTAGTAGTAATACTTTTAGACTTACCCTCCTATATAGCATGT